ATCACTAAGTCATGATACATCTTCCAGTAGTGACAGTGGGGATGAAACAGGTCACATAAAGAAACTGAATCAACAAGAACTACATACAACAAGGCCTCCAATAAAAGTACCTCAAACAGTGAGCAAAGAACCAGAAAATTATTGGCCAGCTCTTAATCTTGAGCAAGTATCACGAATCAAAAGGCGACTGGATATAAAAGGGCCACCATATCATGATTCATCTTCCAGTAGTGACAGTGAGGATGAAACAAGTCACCTAAATAAACATGAGCAACAAGAGTTACATACAATAAGGCCACCAATAAATGTCTCTCAAACAGTGAGCAAAGAACCAGAACATAGGTGGCCAGATCTAAATCTTAAGCGAGTAACACGAATCAAGAGACGACTGGATTTCAAAGGACCAGCACTAAGTCATGATTCATCCTCCACTAGTGACAATGAGGATGAAACAAGTCACCTAAGCAAACATGAGCAACAAGAGTTACATATAACTAGGCCGCCAATAAAAGTATCTCAAACAGTGATCAAGGAACAAGAAAATTATTGGCCAGTTCTTGATCTTGAGCGAGTAACACGAATCAAGAGACGACTGGATATCAAAGGACCAACCCCATGTCATGATTCATCTACCAGCAGTGACATTGAGGACGAAACAGGTCACATAAACAAACAAGAACAACATACAACAATGTCTCCAATAAAATTATCTCAAACAGTGACGAAGGAACTAGAAAATCAATGGCCAGCGCTTAATCTTGAGCGAGTAACACGAATCAARAGGCGACTGGATATCAAAGGGCAAAAAACAGCATTTTATTCTTCTTTGAGTAGTGACAATGGAAACAAAACCACAAGTCAAATACAAGAACAGTTGCAACAAACGTTGCATGTGTCAMTGCCTCCAAATAAAGTATCTCAAACAGTGACCAAGGAACCAGAAAACCAATGGCCTGCCATTGTTCTTGAGCGAGTGACACAAATCAAGAGGCGACTGGATATCAAAGGACCATCATTAAGATATGATTCATTTTCCAGTAGTGACAGTGAGGATGAAACAGGTCACTTAAAGAAACATGAGCAACAAGAACTACATACAACAAGGCCTCCAATAAAAGTTTTTCAAACAGTGACCAAAGAACCAGAAAATCAATGGCCAGCTCTTAATCTTGAGCGTGTAACACGAATCAAGAGGCGACTGGATATCAAAGGACCAGCACTAAGTTACGATTCATCATCAAGTAGAGACAGTGAGGATGAAACAGGTCTGGAACAAGAACTACATACAACTAGGCCTCCAATAAAAGTATCTCAAACAGTGAGCAAAGAACCAGAAAACCAATGGCCAGTTCTAAATCTTGAGGGAGTAACAAGAATCAAGAGACGACTGGATATCAAAAGACTACCAACATGTTATTCTTCCTTGAGTAATGACAATGGAAACAAAGCCACAAGTCAATTACAAGAACAGATGCAACAAACATTGCATGTGTCAAGGCCTCCAAACAAATTATCAGAAACAGTGACCAAGGAACCAGAAAACCAATGGCCCGCTATTGTTCTTGAGCGAGTTACACAAATCAAGAGGCGACTGGATATCAAAGGACCACCTGTAAGAACTGACTCGCCTTCCAGTATTGACAGTGAGGATGAAAAGGGTCACATTAGCAAAAAGGGGCAACAAGAATTACACACAAGGCCTCCAATAAAATTATCTCAAACAGTGACCAAGGAACCAGAAAACCAATGGCCAGCTCTAAATCTTGAGCAAGTAACAAGAATCAAGAGGCGACTGGATATCAAAGGACCATCACCAAGACCTGATTCACCTTCCAGTAGTGACAGTGAGGATGAAACCACAGGCGACTTTAGGAAAAAGGAGCAAAAGAAGGTAAATGTGTCGAGGCCTGGATTGGAAACATCTGCTGTACTAACAACTTCAGAAAAAATGTTCACACAGTCTCCAGGTGTTCTAGTGAAGAACATTTCTCATACCCCAAAGAAAGACCACAACATCTTATTAGAAAAATATGAAGTTATGTCAGATGATCTGGAGAACCAACCAACAAACACTGCCTGCTCAACACCAGAAATAACCCCAGAACTGCAAACACGGTGGGCCACAATGCATCTAGGCGTTTCTCGCTTCCGAAGACGTCTTGAAATTACATCGCCTACAACAAAACCACCAAATCCGCCATTTTCCCCTCCACGTTATTTCCCATACTCCTCCAGCAGTGAAAATGCACCTGAAAAACAACCAAGATTACAAAGGAGGATTGTTGGGACGCGAGAATTAGTTCTCACAGACTCATCTTTTGTGCCTGAAAACATACCACAGAATCGTTCTCCCACATTGAAGGATCCACATAACAAAGTCAGCTTTCCATTTGAAGTCAAACCAAGTGTAACAGGAAAAGATAAGACTAAAGCAGACACCATTTTGGTTGATTTAAGTTCCCAAGACATTAAAAGGTATCAGGATATATGGGTTGATGAAAAGACTTTAGCTACAACTTCTCAACGTTACTCTTCTTCTTTGAGCAGTGATAGCAAGGAGGAAACAACAAACCCATGTGTCCCTGACATCAAGAAGTATCTGAATATCAAGACACCATCACCAGAGCCAAATAATACCCAGGCATTTTTCAGTCAAGGTGAAAAAGATGGGACCAAATACAGTGAAATGCAAAGCAGACAAACATTAACTAAATTAGAAACAACAGATGAGTCGCTTATCACTTATAAGCGTTCAATTATCAAAACATCCTCACTCCCTAAAAACTATTTTATCCCAGCTGGCAGTAGTCAAGCTGTGGACCATACATTCATTGCACAAAGAGTAGACAGTTACAGAAACACATCTCATTCCCCAAGGCTTGATACAAGCATGAACTTTGATGATAGACCAACCACCTTAAACACAGATGTGGCCCTGCAACATGAAATAAGATGGATGGGAGTTGGTCATCATTTATCTGGCTTTTCGAACTCCAATCCAGCCAGTATGAATGCAGTGTTACCAACTCTACAGCAGGCTTCACTTGCAGAACCACGTTCCCTCCCTTTTGAGGACTCTAGCAGTACAAGTGTCACTGACAAAATGCAAGACAGTGGCAAATTAGACAAGATACTAATGAATAAATACTCATCACTTGACAGTGAAAGTGCTTCTCCTCCATCCATCGGTACGTTTGATTTGTTTGGTATTTCACCAGCATCAATGGACAAGAAGGAAAAGAAAGGCCTTGGTGCCTTAAAAATCATGTCACTGGAGAGAAGACTGTGGGAGAAAGACTTAAGTAAAGATCCATCTCTTCCAACTGATGACTCTGGTTCACAAGATGACAATTTTAGTTACAGTCAATTTGAAAAAGACACCAAAATTTCATCTAAAGAGCCAGTAAAACTTGCTTCAACTTCTTCATTGGACAAGAAACGAGATGCAGATTTGTTGTTATTGTATGGAATTCCTCGCTACATTAGGCATGACATTAAAGCCCCAGTGCAGGATACTGTTCCAGAAAGCCCTCTACCAGATGACTGAAGGCTTATTGAGATTTACCCGTTAAGAATCAAGACCATAAAGGGAAAAATATATATATAAAAACAAAATAACCTAACTAATCATTACTTAAATCAGAAAAACTGCCAATCACGTACTTACAAAATAAACTAATGACTAGTTTTTTCCCCTAAATTGTTCAATGTGTGTGCATACTAAACTTAAAATTAACTGTAATGTTCAAATTTAGCTTGCAGCCGTTGCACACCATTTATTGTATGTTCTTTAAATGACCCTTTTTCTCTATGTATCGTTTTTAGTTGCCTTACTTACTTATTTCTACACACAAGACTTCAATAAAACTACATAACTATTCTTAAAATCATTTGTACAAATATTTTTAGAGCAAAATTTACTAAAAATGCAAAATACAATCCAATAAGTTAATAAACCCTTTTATTTATGTGTATAGACATAGGTTATAGTGAAAACAGACATATAGACACTTAGTTTACATACATATATACAGTTGGGACAAGGCTGTTCACCCTCCTGCAGTTTTATGGGAGAATTCTAAAACATCCATCTCTACATAGTATTTGGTAGGCAATCCAACAGCTAGTTTTTGTTGATGGTTACTGCATCATAAAGAGAAGATTTTACTGAAAGCTTGTGGGAATGATCCTCACAACTGATCTAAATGTGTGTATCTTGTGTGTATCATGACAGTGGCAATGACTGCAAATAATTTATGTACTTGAAAATGAATAAAACAATTCTTCACACTTTGCAGCGTGCTGGGAATTTTGTTAAGTGTAAAGATGCATTAAATGATAAATGCAGGGGGGAACTCCCGTTCCACCATGAGGTTACAGGTGTGTTCCAAGTCTTAGTAGACAATTGTTTTTTTTTCCCATTAGAAAAATAAACTTACATGATTGTGTATGTCAAAGCAAGCACAAAACACGTGCACAAATAACTGTACAAAACAAAAACATGTTTGAAAAATGTTTCTGAAAGATCTCATCCATTCACAAAAAGGCTCGTTGGAGCATGCATGCAAATATTAAATCTTCTGACGGTTCAGCATCACATCACAGTCAAAGACAAAAGAATTTATACAAGAACATTACACTAGGCAAACAGAACAGCATAGCATCTTTACACAGTTCTAAACTGTCAGTGTCCACTGTTTTATTACATCCTAAAGGTGCTAATGGTGTTTACAAAAAATGCTTTCAGCAAACCTACCTTACTAGCCTAAAGGGCATTGTTCTCAAAAGGTATCTGGTGTTTCCCTGCAGTTATATTAACACTTCCAGTTCTGGGAGAGATGTTACCGGTAAAGAAAGACTAGAAACTATCAGTAGACTTAGGAAGACGAACAGATTCCAAACACATAGACAAAATGGACACCATCTAGCTCTGTGTTAACTTATAACACAGCCTAAACAGTCTAAATTAGTCCTGAAATAATACCTGACCAATTCTGTGTGTGTGTGCATGTAGAAAATGTATTCTATACATTTGAATTTGTTGGTATGTGTGAAGGACACACAATGTTTGAGGCACAATAATACTCTTACCTACAAAATGCAGTTACAGGAACTGGTCGTCGGACCAACAGATGCTGATCAGAGCACTTGTGGCTCAGCACTGTTCTGTGACAAGAGTTAAGCAGCAATGCTGATCGGTTTGGTGTTATGAGATCTGGAGCCACTGCAGTGGGATAGCAGATAGTTTGCATTAGCAAAACCCTAAGAGGGACCAAAAAACTGGATGGAATAAAAATAACTGGCTTTTATTGATAATAAACAGCACAGGCATCAGAAACCCACAGTCAACCTTTTGACACAGTGTGCTTTTTGAAGTACTAACATAGTTAAAAAAAAAAAAAAAGAAAAACAGTAGTTAGTGCCATTTGTCCAGAGGAGCTCAAGTTTAAATTCTTTGAACAGGTATGCTTGTTTGTCTTTGTGTCTATGGTGTATAATGATGTGATTGTGATGCTGTCATTCTGAGTGTTTTATGTGCTGCAGAACAGGAACCTGCTGTAAAACAGCAATTATGCTGAGTCAGGCTTGATTTTTAATAATCTTTTCCTGTTAAATAAATAAATCTAATCAAATCAATTTAATACTTGAGTGTGCCCAGGTCCAAGTGATGCTGTTTAAGACTCAAACACAATGCATGAATGGTCATTTCAGTTGGTTTTTTGGTGCTGAAGACGAGGACTGGTTCTCCCACACAATACCATTCTGCTTCCACTGTCCATATCCTAATGCAGACAGCAATATGACATGTCACAGTGACAGAAAGCAACGCCACAAAGGTTTTGCTGCAAACCAACCCACAATGCAACTTCTGCAGGGAGCATAACTTTTCTTTAAACAGCCCTCTTCCTCGGATGCGTAAACTCAAGATGAAAACATATTACCCCCTGCCCCCCTCCCAATCCATTCACAGCGTGGATCCATTCTTCACCAGAATGCACCCACTTTCATTGTTTTACCGTTTTTATGATGTCTACTTATTGGTTGTTGTTGCTCAGAGTCGTCGTGGTCACAGTTGTCTTTTTTTTTCTTTTTTTTCAGTTTTCCATTCCCAGCTATGACATCTGTCTTTCTTTGTACCATTCCACAAATTCATCCAGCAAAACAGGCCCTGATGAAAGGACAAGACAGAGAAGAATTACTGGTGTAACAGTGTACCTGACGCTCTGTGGATTCACTTTAAGTCCAAATAAGTGTTCACTCACAGGCACCATCTTCATCATAGTTACTAAGGTCCAGGTTGATTGTCCTGCTGAACTCTAAAACGTTGCACCACTGGTCTTTGTTGATGACTTTGTACTTGGATTGCTGAGGAACAACAGCACAAGTGTTATAGATTAATACCACACCTTACTGCGACTGTGTGGAAAATGTGTGACTTCTATAATAAATTTAGCAACAAGCTCACCTCTAAAAACTGATTAAACACAGGAAAAAGGGGCCATGTCTTCCCCAGAAGAAGCCCCAGCATACACTTGGCTGTATTCAAGTCCAAACTCCTCTGATCTTTTTCCTGTCCAATCAAAAGATGCCGGACTTAACAAATTATTACAAAATATCAGACAGCTAAAACAAAACAGCTTAATAAAAGCAAAACCAGCCCTATAGACTTATTTGAGGATGTGTACAAATTCAGGGGMTGTGTTCTCCAAAGACTGAATTTGTTGGCTGTCGAGGCGCCGTGCCAGAGACTGTCCACATCAAAGACACCTCTGATGCAGCCGACATATGCATCCTCCTTCCCCACCCCCCAATTTGAGGGACGGGTCCGAAAGATCCTTCTCGGCCCATCCTATCCTGTAATGCACCGTGGGCCAAACAGAGATTATTTTTTTTGCTTGTAATAGCAAACGAAGCGAGAGACAGGAATACAGTTTTAAATAAACATCTGGCKGTATAACAATTGAAAGTTTAAAGYGGTTGRGTTGTTACGCTTTTGTCATTTGAATAGATGATTGATTTGTCATCCTTCATAGAAGGTGACCTATTATAGTCAAAGGTTTTCTATTGCTAGTATATGGACATGGTTTTAATATTATTCTTGTCAGAAATCACAGAGCTGGTATAGTGAAATAAACGTGAACGTACAACGAATCCATTAGTTCTTCAAATATTACCTTTTGTTTTGTGATATTAATATTAATATATTGACATTTTGCTAATTTCAATGTATTTTTGCTTCTGTTTAGTGTTGTCACGATTGCTAGGCCAGTGTAAGGGCAGGAATAAAGCAGAAGGCTAGACCGTCCAAATTAACATCCACTTTTTTCCAGTCTTCAGTCTACCAAGGACCCAGCCCACCTAGACAAGGTAGGCTGGGTCCTTCAAAGGACTCAGCCCCTGAATTTGGACACATCATGAGAACATTGTAAAAAAAAATCTACATTTAGTAAAAATGATTTTAACTCAATGAACTGCATGGAATATTTTTTTTTGTTTGTCTGTAGTGTGTTTCACTGAAGCACACTTATGAAAAAAATCCCTCGTGTACTCAATTTATACAGTGGAGGAAATAAGTATTTGATTTCTTGCTGATTTTGCAAGTTACAAAGACATGAACTGAAGTTTTAACAGTGAAAATTGGAATATGAAAAAAATCCAGAAAATCACATTGTATAAATTATAAATTTATTTGCATTTTGYAGAGGGACATAAGTATTTGATCCCCTACCAACCAGTTAGACGCTCCTAATCAACTCGTTACCTGCATTAAAGTTCAGTCTATTTATCATTAAAGACAGCCGTTTTAAATTGTCACCTGTATAAAAGACTCCAGTCCACAGACTAAATAATCAGTCAGACTCTAACCTCTACAGCATGGGCAGGACCACAGCGCTGTCCAAGAATGTCAGGGACAAGATCATAGACCTGCACAAGGCTAGAATGAGCTACAAACCATCAGTAAGATACTGGGTGAGAACAAGACAACTGTTGGTGCAATAAATAGTAAGACAAAATGATTTGTGGCTCCCTGCAAAATCTCACCTTGTGTGGTATCCTTGATCATGAAGTTGAGAGGTCAGTCTAGAGCTACACGGGAGAACTTCTTAAGGATCTCAAGGGAGCTGGGACCAAGTTACCAAGAAAACCATTGGTAACACATGACGCTGTGATGGACTAAAATCCTGCAGTGCCTGTGAGCTCCCCCTGCTCAAGGTGGTACATGTTTAGGCCCATCTGAAGTTTGTTAATGAACACCTGGATGATTCTGAGAATGATTGGGAGAAGGTGCTGTGGTCAGATGAGATGAAAATTGATCTCTTTGGCATTAACTCAACTCTCCATGTTTGGAGGAAGAGAAATGCTGATATGACCCAAAAGACCACCGTCCTCACTGTCAAGCATGGAGGTGGAAATATGTTTTTGGGGTGTTTCTCTGCTAAGAGCACAGGACTACTTCACCACATCAATGGGAGAATGGATGGAGCCATGCATTGTAAAATCCTGAGTGACAACCTCCTTCCCTCTGCCAGGATGTGTCAGGGCTGGGTCTATCAGCAACAAAGGAGTGGCTCAGAAAGAAGCACATTAAGGTCATGGAGTGGTCTCTAGCCAGTCTTCAGACCTTAATCCCATCGAAAACCTTCAGAGGGAGCTGAAACCCCAAGTTACCAAATGACAGCCTCAAAATCTTAATTGAGAGATGATCTGCAAAGAGGAGTGAACCAAACTTCCTCCTGATGTGTGCAAACCTCTTCATCAACTACAAAAAAAGTCTGACTGCTGTGCTTGACAAGGTTTTGCCACCAAGTATTAAATCTAGCTTGCCAGAGGGATCAAATGCTTATTTCTCTCAAAATGCAAATAAATTTATATAATTTATCAATCCATCCATTATTTATACCCATTTATTCCTTTTCTAGGGTCATGGGAGTCACTGGTGCCCATATCCAGCAGTCACAGTGCGAGAGGCGGGGTACACCCTGGACAGGTCTCCAGTCCATCACAGGGACACACAGAGACAAATGAGACAAACAACCATTCACTCTCTCACTCACATCTAGGGACAATTTATAGTTATCAATTAACCTAACAGTCATGTTTGAGTCTGTGGGAGGAAGCTGGAGTACCCGGAGAGAGCCCACGCATGCATGGAGAGAACATGCTAATTCTACCCAGAAAGGTCCCCGGGCCGGGATTTGATCCAGCAACTTTCTTGCTGAGAGGCATCAGCTCTACCAACTGAACTGAGCCTCATTTATAATTTATACAATGCAATTTTCTGGATTTTTTTTTTAATATTCTATCTCTCACTGTTAAAACTAACCTACCCTTAAAATTAAAGATTGTTCATGTCTTTGTAAGTGAGCAAACTTACACAATCAGCAAGGGATCAAATACTTATTTCCTCCTGTTTGGAACTGTTCTTTCGAATATGACCAGATTAATCATATCATTCATTCAAAATATTCATTCAATCATTTTCACTTTAATGGTTTGTACAGTGTCAAAAAAACTTCTGACAAGCCTAAAAAATGAAGTTTGATAACAAGGATTTAAATGGTGTGTATATGAGGTACTTTGTAAATAAAACTATTTTCCAACTTACCCGAGCGAAATCAAAGGCATATCTGTAAATAAGCTTAAAACTAGTGCTGTCGTTCAGAACAGATCTCAGGTAGTCAAGAGAGTTCCTCAGTCTCTCAGTGGAATCACACCTGACAACAGCAGAAAATTACCTGAGGCATGTTCAACACTTTACTACTAACAATAGAAAGAATCAACCACAAAAGATGATAAATATATATATTATTATAAGAGCAAATAAACCAAGACAGAAAATAAGTGTTTGACGTACTGCAGTGAGCCCATGCCTCGTAGCCACTCCTGAAGAGTAAAATATCCCATACTCTGAGCATCCAGCTTCCAAGCCAGAACCAGCATTACCACCTGGTCAGAGAAAGAAACGGAGTGCTGCAGAAACTCTTTAACACAGCATGTTCTACTGCTTTGTACAATGACAACTGGAACCAAAGCAACACTGTGCTGGTGTTTTAAAGTTTAACAATATTTTACAAACATAAAAACTACTAAATATTCACACACACATTAAAATTAACAAAAAAAGTTAAAATAAAAAAAATATAAGAAATTTATAAAACAAAAAAAACATTTTCACCCTCCCCAGGAACAGTCAGCCATGAAGGCTGACCTCAACAGCAAGATGTGTAATAATCAGTGATTAACTCACACTCATTTACACAGCTAGTCGTCACAGTATTATTAATGTTCTGAGCCCTATGTTAAAGTAGCCTGGTAAAAACTAGACCCTGTCCTTCACTTTGCTTCGTACGAGGGTCTGGACTCTCTGCTATAGAGTAGCAATTCTTGCATGAGGCGTGGCCTCTGCTGAAGTGTGTGTGTGTGTTGCTGTGAAGGAGGCTAAGCTAAGAAGCTAACTGGAAATCGCTAGCGCTGTAAACAACCCTACTGAGAGGAGAAATGTACTGAGCCGAACAAGACGACTGTAAATGAGAGCTGCTGCTTTGTCAGACAAATTTAATTTAATTTGACAGCCTTATCAACACGGACTGGCTTCATCCACTTCCTCCACTGCCGTATGCTAAAATAACTAACAGACACTGCGCAGAAAATCATCGTTGTTCAAAACTCCTCCTTCTGTTTGCTGGTTGGTCCAGGTAAAACAAACTGCAAGCAGACACTGCGCAGAAAATCGACGTTCTGTTCTCTGATTGGTTCAGCTAAAAATCTGCCAGCGAAATCCTTGTCTATGGGAGAAGTCCCAGACGGAGCAGAGAARCRAAACTAGAATTGAGCGGAGCTGCGTAGGAATGCAAGGGCCAGGCTAATGTTAAAGAAGACACTAAACACAAATAGATATGCATTCGATTACCGTAGTTATCTATTCATAAATCCAGTTTTACATTTTAGGATTTAATTGACAGCTTTATCACAAGAAGGCAACAATTTGAAATTTATTTCTCATCTAAAAATAGCAGTAAGAAACCAAAATATTTGTGACTTTTTTGCTTTTTTGTTAGTAAATGAAAACATGAAAAAGTACATCGCATTTTCATGTTTTCATTTACTAACAAATACGCAAAAAAAGTCACATTATCACTTTCAAATGAAAACATCTGGATGAAGCTTTAAGAATGGCACACCAGATGTCCTTAAGTGTGAGTGCAATGGTCCAAAAGGAGGACAAGGCCAATTGTAATCAAGTGTTAGTTAGGATATGGGTCCCCAGTCGAATTCATTGAGTAATGAAGCAACATGTGGTTTTTCAGCTTTAGCAAACATCAGACACACACTCATATGCAGGGGTTTCACTACGCGTTGTGTGTGTAGAGTAGGGTTGGGCATAATCGTATCGTGTGCAATTAATCGTCAGAAAAACATTAATCGATTACTTTTTGGCACTTGACGATTAATACGATTAATGCCACCAGGCAGACTGACTGGGGATTACTCGGGTCAGTCCGCTCGGTTCTCCTCTCCATTTCAAATATGACGAACATTGAAATTAAAGTTCTGTATTTATTTATGTATCAACACAATTTTAACTTTGACGTATAGCCCGAAGTCTGTAATTCTGGCACAACTTGGAACAGATTTTTACGAAGAGCAAATCTTACCCACTAAATTGGTCATGTGACTAGGACACAAGGGTGTCCAGGGACACCAGGGGATTAATCGTCAAATTAATCGTTATCGGCTAGCTACCCCAATTAATCGTGATTAATTATTTTGCTAATATTGCCCAGCCCTAGTGTAGAGAGCACTGTCGTAGTTGTGGTAACATAATGAGTATCTTTGACAAGTGTTCGTTAGCAGTCCAGTAATGCTCTTGACTCATTAGAAGAGTTGACATTAAGGATTTTCAACAAAACCAGATATCTTACATTAAATTGGTGCCTAAATTTAGATATTAAAATTGGACTCAAACTGCAAAATGGTAGTTAATGAAACATTTTTATACTAGACAAATTTAAAAAAGGATGTTTCAGCATCACTAAGACAAAAGAATAAAGTCAGACCTGAACAAACTGAGACCATTAACATTAAACCAAACATGAAAACTCATTCAAATACGAACAAACATCTGCTTACATTTTCTGGCTCCACTCCAATGTCTTCACAGAACTTCTCAATGCCCTCTGGACCCACAACGTCATCACAACCTATATTAGATAGGTGTACATTATAATATCAGCATGTGCAGCTACAAACACACAGCAAAGACTGTTGCATTATGTTTGTTCACCTGCGTATTCATAGAACCACTCCAAGCATCTTTTACTAGAAAATGTCTCCTCCTCTTGGATTAGTGTTGTATCATGTTTTCTGAAAACACTGCACACAAACAGTTTTAGCAATGAGATAACCAGCTATACTGCATATATAGTACAGACCCACAACCTACTACATTCTCTATAAAGAGATATTACTGGCAAGACAACTGCAAAAAACCATGTACTCAGGCACTGCCATACACCCAATCTGCAACCCCCCTTCACACTGAACAAAGACTCCAAAAATGATGTAAAAATAAATAAAATCAACCAGAACCTGGATGGTCTTAGCAGGGTCTTGGGAAGGTCTTCATGTGTGTGTTAAAGGTGGTGGGGGGTATACTGTATTTTCCAGGCACATAGTTCAATTCTGCACCACAATCCAGTAACTGTGTTACCTTCACTTGTTATAAAAAACTGTATATACAGTATCTAAAATAAATGTGACTTTGAATCAGTCTAAATGCTTTGAAATTGGCCTCTGTCTCTTAAAGAACCTCCTACCATTGCTGACACTTCYACTTCAGCACGTTTTCTAAAAATGCTTCGGGGGAGGGGTGCTCTGTGAGGCAGGAGCTCAGCTGCAGACTGAGCTCCTGGGAGGAGCTTTGTAWAAATGGGCGGAGCATTGTACCAGCAGCTCCACATGACTACCACAGAGATTTCTTCAATATGCATGAATGAGTCAAAGCAACATTCTGAGTACGTATTTTGATRAGGGAATGACATAACATGATATAAAGCTCAAAATAGTCGATTCTGCATGATACACCGCCTTAGAGGGATCCCTGATTAGTTGTAACATTAGAGTTCATTTAATAAACATATTTTAACTGTAAAATAAAGACTGTAAAAATACTGTAGGATGTTCAGTTTTTATCATTTTTAAACTAAAAGTTTAAAAATATATTACACGGATAGGGCCATTTTATTTACACGCAAAGCATTCTGGGTAAATGATGACGTGGATAGGTCCTCGGTGTGAGGCTGCTAGCGAGCTATATCCACCCTGAAGGTTAATCTTGGACAATATCTGATGATCGACTCTTTTAAATGAAACCAGAGAGCGTTGACAGAGAGGAGAAGGTAGAAATGACTCAGCCTGGAACTGAAAATATAGGACAACAGAGCTGCTTCATGGAAGAAGAACCTCAGCTTAGCCTGTTAGCTTTAGCCCCGATGCTATCACAATATATATTGTATATTAGCTTAGCGCTACACATTCTCCTCTCGTCACTGAGGTCYTCCGTCGAGATGACAGAGAGGGGAATGCAAAATTGGCTCAGAATGCAACTGAAAATATGGATGGAGGACCTCAGTTTAGCTTGTTTGTCGCGCTAGTGCTGAGCTAATATATATAAGGCAATACAGTGTTGGCGCTAAAGCTAACACTGCMAGCAACACCAATGACCTATCCATGTTATCATTTACCCAGAATGCTTTGTGTGTAAATAAAATGGCTCCGTCCGTGTTAAAATATATTTTTAAACATTTACAAAACTAAACAGCCAACAGTATTTTACTTTTTTTTATTTTACAGCTAAAACATATGTTTATCAAATAAAGTCTAATGTTACAACTAATCATGGATCCCTTTAAGAATGTGATGAGAACTCCTAGTCAAGTGTCTATAATGGTTTTGTGTGTACAGAACATGCATTGAAACATTTTGGTAGTTGTGTATCCATGACACTGGGCTTCTCCACACCGGTGAGGCTAGAACCTGAAGCAAGACTAGCTATGCTGGTCTGATGCCTTGGCTATGACTGTGATTGTGACATGGTCATGGAATCAACTCAGCACAGATGTGGTACTTGTGTTGGTAGTGTTGTGCTATCCTAGTGTGTCTTTCTAGCACAGAGGTGCATACTGACATGTTTGCAGAAAGAAGTGCATATAGAGTGTGGTGAGAGTGCAAGTCCCAGGAATGCAGAAAAACCTAAGTGGTGAGTACTGAGAGCAGGGCAAGTTCATTAAATCCTTCAAAATAAAAGAGGTTTGTCCTAATAAGTTGTGGTGAGTTTAACGGGATAGATGTCTAGTATGACGGTGACCTAATGCAAAGATCTCACACCTGTCTTGACGACTTTTCTTAGCAGACATGTCATCTCCAGCAGAGGGTCTCCTCTTTTTCCTAGGCGGCATGGCTCGTGAGTAGCAAGCTGGGAACGTAAGAAAAACTCTGAAAGATAACTATTAGCCATACAACTACTAGTAGAATATCCAAGAAAAGATGGTTAAATTTGAGCGTTTAATAATGAGACTAATAATCGTATGCTGATGATGTAAATCATACCTGATGAGTGGCTATCCTGTCCAACGTCTTCGGTCAGATTCTACCAAGAATGACATAACAGAAACACTCAATGCTCACTCATATTCACACTAAAACATGCTGATGAGCGGTATTTACCAGCCTGTGCAAGGTGTGGTGAATCTTGTGGATGCTGGCCAGGGTAGTTGAATGTGAATTGAGCTGAAAATCTATTTCCACGTGGAATCAAAGGTGTCATAAGAAATGCAAACTAACCAAATCAACCTAATGCTTGTAATCACGCAGGAATATGAGGTCAGGTCCTCATGGCATTTACTTATGCACAGATTTAAAATCCACTTCAGCTCAGGTAAGAACCAACACTTATCAGTTTGCATGTTCTCATATCAAACGTTTACATCTCGGAAAATGGCAGAAAATGTCTTATCACGGCTAAAGGAGCGAATCAGAGCCCTGCACTGGCGAAAAAAAAAATGACACCGAAACCCGAATATATCCGATCAGAAAGGTTGAGCTCGTCTCTTAAACCAGTGAGTCGTTTCCAGTTAACTGCGGTCATCAAAGACTGGTTTATTCTTGTAGGCCAAATTCAGGCAAACTACACAGCACAGAGAGGCGAGCGGATAGCACTAGCCGCATACCTAAAATAGCAGTGCAGACAAGCAACTTGCACAGAGTTTACAAAGTATCCAGAGAGTTGGGCGGCTGGGATTTGTAGTTCTTCCGGTTTACGGAGGCCGTTTGCAAGCTCGACTCTGCTCGGGTTACTGGACTACAATACCCATAAGTTTGAGGGGGGGRAAAACAACTATTTCTTTCACTCATCTCCCCCCAACATATACGCTTTCCGACAGAATATGTTAAACGTTGATTAATAAATGTAATGTTATATGGCCTCTAACAGGAAAAAGGCCCGCGCGGACGTTTTGCTAAAGCTAGCAGGTGACGCAAAAACTGACAGGACTGTTGCAGCAGGCAAAGAAAGATGTTTTACACAACTGCGTCACAATTTTCCTTCTATACAGCAGTCCGCAGTTAGCCAGGAAATGTGACCGACTAACAATAATTTACGTCGAAGTCAAGTTTGAGCTCAAACGCGTTGTATGCTTTGAGTGGTAACGATTAAAAACCCAACAACGAAACCGATTGCAAGCGAAAACCTAAGCAACGTCGGCGACATTTAACCTAAAACTGCGAGCTCAACACGAAAAACGCTGCAGGTTTTCTTGTTGTGCCTTAGCTGCCTTTTTAAAAGTCAAAATAAGTGCATTTACAGCAGCCATCCTTCCTTTGTTATCGCCCCAGACAGTACTGGCAAATACAAAGAGACTAGCAGGCACGGGATTCATGCGTCCCCGTTAAACCCGAGAGTCTCCGGACAAAAGCGGACGTAGAAACACAAAATGTCASTCTGTTTCTCTAAATTACGCACTTCACGTATTAAGAGAGGTCGCAAATCTACACGGAATAATCTCTAAACATTTCTACTTACTTGCTGCATCAGAGTGCATTTTTATGAAACGTACAACTGTCTGTGGGAAGTCCGTAGACCGGCCAATGGGCGGGCCTTGTTGACGTAAAGGACGGCCGTAGAAYATGATTGAACGTCGGCTCTGACTTGGCCCCGCCTCTGTGCGCAGTTGATTGGCTGCTTTTGTTGTCAGTTCTTAAAAACACGGAGACAAAAGGAAAACAGTCCACCCCTCCTCAAATTCGATTGGTCAGAGTTCCTAAATCAGCGCGTCAATCATCAAAATGTCCTCGTGCAATCTGAAAAACGTCCCACGTTGAGATTTGATTGGTCTTTTTGGTGATAAATTTATTTTCTTGTATAATTAGTGGATGAGTTTGATATTGGCTCAGAATAATTTTTTAAAGTGGCATTAAAGTCACGTTTTCTTTTTACTACAAGCCACCAAGCTGAAGACACTTATCCTCACCTGATGGTTTTATTTAATTTAAAAAAAAGTGACTGAAGAGTCTGATTCAAGATGGCTGCCACAGCTATTAACTATCAATAACTCTGAAATTTACAGAAACTGGAAATAAAATATTTTGTGGTAGCTGAGAGTAATTTCCAACACCTTATTTTGAACAATTATAAATTGCACAAGATCTTTAAAACTTTGGCATTAACTTTTGGACTCAACCGTGTTTGTTAACCAAATTCTCAACTGTTTGGATTTTAAAATTGATTTTTTTAATTGGATTTTTTATTTGATGCTCAGTAAGAAATTATTGGATGTACATCTGATTAGCTATTAACCATCCGAAGGTCTTGTGCCGAAAAATCAACTAAGCATTTTTTGTTTGTTTTTATTTATTTTTTATTTATTTATTATTTTTGATGTTGTCAAAAACAGGATTGTTCCTGGCAAATGCTAAAATATTTGATTATTATTAATAATAATTTTTTTACTTTGTTAAAATCAATTGAGTTTGATGCCTGCAACATGTTCTAAAAAAGCAACAAAAGACTGGGAAAGTTGAAGAATGCTCAAAAAGCACCTGCTTGGAGCATTCYACAGGTAAACAGGTTAACTGGAAACAGTTGAGTGTTGTTATTAKGTATAAAAGGGGCATCCTTGAAAGGCTCAGTTGTTCACAAGCAGGGATGGAGCGAGGTTCATCGCTTTGTGAACAACTGAGACCAAATAGTCCAACAGTTTAATAATGTTTCTCAAAGTAAAACTGCAGGGAATTTAGTGATTTCATCATCTACAATCTATAATATCATCAAAAGTTTCAGAGAATCTGGACAAATCTCTGCAAGTAAGCAGCAAGTCGTGACCTTTGAGCCTTCAGGCAGCACTGCATCAAAAACTAGGAATGTACTGATATTGGTATCGGGCCCGACCAGCATTTTACAAAAACTAATACTTGTTCAAAATGCCCCGAATACCCGGAACCAATAACATTTTTTTCTTTGACGTGGATGTTCACATCTTAAATTCAACCTCCTTTAGACTCCAGTGTGAACGCTTTATTCTGACGATGCAGCATGTATGCAGAAGATGACTTGACATCACATTCAGCTCCCTGCACAGTGGATGCTATTTCTTAGCTAGTCGATTTTGAAGTTGTTGTTCAATCAGAACCGGTGATAAAATGCTTGTTTAGTTCACGGTTTACATTTTAACCTCCTTGTAGTCAACTGGTCTGATGAAGCGTGTTTATGGATTTATGGAACGATAGTGACGTAACACGTTCTAAAGCTAAAGGCCCTGTCACACTAGACAACTTATGTCAACTTATGAACATTTTAAAGACATCTATGTTGAAARTAGCCTGRTAAAAACCAGACTCTTGTCCTTCACTTTGCTTCATACGAGGGTCTGGACTCTCGGCTATAGAGAAGTGATTCTTGCTGGAGGCGTGKCCTCCGCTGAAGTTTAAAATGATTGGATYGGTTGGCTGCGACGTATCTGTACACCAGCCAGAAATTGTGTGTGTGCTGTAAACAACCCTACTGAGAGGAGAGAAGTACCGAGCTGAATGAGAMGTCTGTAAATGAGAGCTGCTGCTTTGTCAGACAAATTTATTTTAATTTGGAAGTCTTATCAACATGGACTAGCTTCATTCACTTCCTCCACTGCCAAATGCTAAAATAGCAGACACTGCACAGAAAATTGACATTCTGTTCTCTGATTGGCCCGGACAAAAATTGTCCAAGGGAAATCCTTGTCTGTGGGAGAAATCCCAGACGGAGCAGTGAAGGGAAACAAGAACTGAGCGGAACTGTGTGCGAAGGCCAGAAGAACAGAACGTCCATTTTCTGCACTGTCTGCTTGTAGTTTATTTTACCTGGGCCAATCAGCAAACAGAAGGAGGAGTTTTGAACAACGTTGATTTTCTGTGCAGTGTCTGCTTGTAGTTTATTTTACCTGGGCCAATCAGCAAACAGAAGGAGGAGTTTTGAACAACGTTGATTTTCTGCGCAGTGTCTGCGGGTTTATGGCAGTGGAGGAAGTGAATGAAGCCAGTCCATGTTGATAAGGCTTCCAAATTAAAATAAATTTGTCCGACAAAGCAGCAGCTCTCATTTACAGTCGTCTYGTTTGGCTCGGTCCTCTTCTCAGTAGGGTTGTTTACAGCGCACGCAATTTCCAGTTAGCTTCTTAGCTTAGCCTCCTTCACATGGAGCTGGCGTATACATACTTTGCGGCCAACCGATCCAATCATTTTAAACTTCAGCAGAGGCCACGCCTCCAGCAAGAATCACTTCTCTATAGCTGAGAGTCCAGACCCTCGTACGAAGCAAAGTGAAGGACAAGGGTCTGGTTTTTACCAGGCTAAGGCTACGATGAAAATGGAATTGAAAAAGTCAACAGGAAGCTTCTTTTTGGAGTGTTATGTAATTCTAACAAATTTATCAAATATATAACTTTTATTAGCAATTTAGACATTAAAAAATGTTTCATAAGTTGGCATAAGTTGTCTAGTGTGACAGGGCCTTAATTAAAACGATCCAATTTAGTGTCGACTCGGTCCAACACTGTTCCTATCAGATGTTTCTATGGATTCTCAGTTTACCAGGATATGGACTATTTTATGGAAAAGATGAACTAAATGGACTTCTGTTCTTTAGCTGAGCTGTGTGGAGTTAGGAAGTGTTGGAAATAATCCCATTAAAGTATCGATCCAGAACTTTATTATCGACAAAGTCTGACGTTACTATCAGATGTTTCTGTGTGTTCTCAGTCTCCAGGAGATGGATGACTGTTCTGTAGACTGAAGTTCGCTTTGACAAACATCAGATTTGTATCTGATTTAGTACCAGGGTCTAATTTTAAAAATGTGTTTTTATAATTACCGTGTAATGTTCAGGTTTTAACTCAGTAAGTACTAATAACAGTACTTGGTATCAGTGAATACACAAACTGAAGTACTTGTACTTGCCAGAGAGGTGAGGTTCCCAAGAGCCAGTTTTGATAGGCCAGGGTCAGAGTGCCAAGGTCCCCACCTTTGGCACATAGCATCATGCACCCGACTCGTACGGCCCCTCCTGCAGGTGGTGGCCCACAGGAAGGCAAACTCATGCAGCTCATTCGGACTGAGCCCAGCCAGGTCCCATGGGTAGAGACCCTGCCAACCAGGYGCTCATCGACGAACCCCTCCCCCAGGCATGGTTTCATGGTGGGGCCCCGGTAACCCCCGTCCATGCAAGGGACACTGAGTTCCTTGATCTTTTGTGTCCACACTGAAAAAAAACTTGTAAGATTTACTTGAAAAAAATCCTCGTAACAATTTGCACTAACATTTGTTAAGTAAATTTAAATGCTACAAATTCTTGTAATATTTGCTCATCATTATCTAGTAGAAGTTGTTAAGAATATAGTCAAAGGTTTGTGAATGAATCAGGTAAATTTTACTTAATTTGTTCAATCAAAATTTGTAACAAATACGTGATCAAATTAAGTAAAATTTACCTGATTTATTCACAAATCTTTAACTATTCTTATTTACTTTTACTAGATAATGGGCCTCATGCAAGAACATGTTCGTATTTTTATCCTAAATTTCTCTTACTTTTGTTCGTACAAAGGGTTCGTACGAACATGTCACGTCAGATTCAACAAACTCTTCTATCTTCAGGAAGCGTGCGTAAATTTCCACCTGTTCTATCCAGCTGCTCGTGCACGCAAGAGGAGATTAGCATAATTACCACCCC